TGCCGTCCGCACAGCTGGGAGGCTATTTGGGAGGTGCCCGCGCCGAAGCGGTTCGGTACGCCGCCAGGGTTCACCGCAGAGTCCGGCGCTGATGCGCGATACAGAAAAAATCGCGCATTCGTGGTTTCGTCCGGCATGGCTAGGCCGGGTGTCGTGTCAAAGCTGCCGCCAGAGGCATCAGGAGCTGTTTGGGTTTATGGGATGTGGGGGCCGAGCTGGCGTGGTAACGGGGATGAGCTTGATTCTGGAGGGCATGGATGTGCCTGTTCGGCGTGTATATATATAAAAAACTCAATGCAATACAAGTGCTTTTCGCGCGATTTCGGGCGCTCTCGGGCGAAATCGCCCTCCCTTGGAAAAAACTTTAAGTTTTTATTTCACCACATTCGGCCCCAAAAAACTTGTTGTTTTCTGGTTCAAAAAATGGATTGAAATACCTGAAGTTTTCCGGTTCGGAAAATGCATTAAAATACTCGACATTCTCCGGGTCAAAAAACGCATCTAAATCTTAAATGTTTTTTTTTCATTACGGGTCAAAAAACGAGTCAAAACACTTGAGCTTTTTCGAGCAGAAAAACTCATTCGAATACTTCCCCTTTTAGAATACATTTTCCCTTGCTCTCAAAACTCGTAGAAAAGCCTCATGTTTTTAGATGACTCTGTAGCTAAAGAACATTTGTAGTAATACTTGCCATTTGTAGCGTCAAAATACCTATTTGTAAATTTTACTTTGTCCAATAAATTTTTCTCCCCCAAAAACTTGACCTTTTTGGTCCAGTTTGTATGATGAAAACATTCTTTAAAAAACTTTGCCTCTTCCCACTAACGTTTCCGCCCTCAACATTTTTGAAACGCGGCTGTGCATGCTGGCGCTGCTCGAGGGATTGCTAGGAGGGTTTGGGGCCCACGGGTACGTCTCTTGGCCTTGCAGGTCAACTATCTACTTACAGCTCTGGTAGATCTTCGTCGTGGTCGTTCGCCGCGCGTGACGCCAGAAATAGGTGTATCGACTGGCCGTGGAATGGCGCACACGCTTGCCACGGCCCATCTCCTTCTCCCCATCTCCATCTTCTTCCTCACCAACAGCCACGGGCAACTCAGCATCTGGGTCCTCTGCTTGCCCTAACGACGCCAAACCCCCTCCCTCTGACTTGGCCCTGACGCGCCGAAGCCCCTGCGCCTTTCGACTCACAACATGCTCGACGACCTCTCGCGTTGGAATCTCTGAATCGTCATCGCCGAGTTCAGGGTCGTCATACAGCACTTCGTCCTCCCCCACTTTGTCGTTATCGCTAGGGCGGAACTCGTGGGTGGATTTGGTTTGGAAGTCGTTCAAGAGCTGAGGATTTGTGGTTCGGAGGTTTCGAAGGAGCTCGCGTGTTTCAAAAGAAGTGAGACACTCGAACGAGAGATTGTGGCCACGAACAGTGCACATAGACCACGCCTGCAGGGCTTATGAAGGGAAATGACAAGCGAGCTTCGAGGTACGCACCTTCTTTATCAAGTCTTCACGCTGGATGGCCTGAAACCCCTTCCAGATCCATGCAACGCTCGCATTTCGGAGTGTCCCAATCGACTTGTCCAGCGACATCGCCCTGCCCTCTCCCCCGTTTTCGCAAAAACGAATCGATGAGCCATTCGTGGTACGCCACCTTCACTGCGTGCTTGAACGGGCGATTAATTCCGACATCCAGTGGTTGTCCAACGCCAGTACAGCCGCCAGGGATGAAGTCGACAAGGATATCAGGATGGTGAGTTCGCATATAGCCCAAAAACTCTGCGGAGCGATGAACTGACCATACATCGATAAGCCAGAGTGCCTTTTGTCGTTCGTCAAGCTTTAATTCCGTCTTCTTTTGCGCAAGGTATGGAACGAGTACGTCTTCGACAAATTCCCGCATGGTCTTCTGACTTGACCAGTGGTTCCCCTTCTTCCCAGATGGAACAAAGCGAAATCCGGCCGCGTCGCAGTCGTTACGATGGGGTGCATCCGTAGGTGGTGTAACGCCATCGGAAGTACCGCCATAAACACACTGGATACCGAGTGTCGCCCCAGCCGCAGTGACCGAGAGCAAAGCTGTAAATGCTCTCTTCTCCTCGTTTCCCACCACCGCGACCTGCTTTGACCCTTGTGGTGCCCATGTCATGCGTGACCCCGGTAAGAAAATGACTCCCGTTTGGTCTGAATTGACGATTAGCTCCGCAGGGATTTCGTACTCCTTGATAGTGTATGCGCGTCGAAGGAAAACCGTGTAGCATTGATCTTCCCAGTTATCTGGCAGTTTTTGTGCTGCCTTCGTTCCCTTTCGACTGGACCACCGGAGGTTCTGATGCAAATACTTCCGACAGAACTCGTCTGACGCTCGGAAATAGGAATGCCATACGGTACGGCTACGGCGCCGTATTACGGCGTGCCGTACGCCGTAATAACCGTCCCGTACCTGGTGCCCGAGTGTACGGGACGGCGACGGGACGGCCGTGACGCCGTAATAACCGTCCCGTATACGGTGACGGTCGCCGTATACGGCGGAGGCTCGGCTAACCCGGGATTTGATCCGGAGATCGTCGATTCGCTGGGTATCGGACCTCCGGCCGCCCGTTGCTAGGGCCCAGCCACTGTCGGTCGTCAGCCAACACGGCCTGGCTAGCCTCTCAGGCAGCCCAACACGCCAGGAAGCCGCTTGGCACCGCCGCCCGACCCGGCCCGGTCGCTCGGAGCCCGACTTTGGCCCAGGTCACACCAGGTCACACCGTGTGACCTGGCCAGCCGTACCGTCACCGTAATACGGCGTGACGGCGCCGTCCCGTACCGTAAGCACCTTGAACTCGAGAGCTTACGGTACGGCGTGGGGCCGTCCCGGCGCCGTCAGAGGCCGTACCGTACACGGCCGTAGCCGTACTTATACGGCGACAGCCTACAGCCCTATTTATCTATTCGAATAGTCTAATTACTGCGGGTCCAAGCACCGTGACCGTTGGTAATAAGCTTTTTGCCTTCCGCAGCCGCCCTCGCATATATAAACAACAGCGCACTCTCCTTCAACCAGTTGCGTCTGTCTTCCCATATGGTGAAGCTACTGGATTTGGCGCCTGAGCTCCTCAGTTCTATCGCTTTTCTCACTAACCACTCCGACCTGCCTCAGCTGGCGCTCGTCTGCGCCAAATTAGCCGATGTCGTCCGCATCGTTATTGCCAGAAACATTGTAGTGGACCAGTGGGCTGATCCCGAATGTTCCGCTCTGCAGGTGCTCATCGACAGCCGCCCTCATCGATCATACATTCGCCAACTCGTAACTATCACTGTCCCTGCCCTCCGACGCGCGTTCTCTCGCACTCTAGCTTCCCAATACACAAATTTGAAAACTTTACGTGTCGTGCACTTCCGCGACCCCGAAGACATTCTGCCCGGAGTGCTCCAAAATCTCCCCCGATTACTTCACCTCTTTGTATTCTTCCAACCGAATTGCACCACGTCCGACCTGGTCAATGTCATCCGCCACTTGCCTCTCGGTCTCCATACACTGGGTCTATTCTTGGCATTTCCCATGACCAACAACCCTCCAATCAACTACGCCGCACGTCTTGATGGCGCTCCCCATGTTGTACCCCTTCGGAGTCTGACCAGTCTTCACGTAGCGAGTGATCTGGACGGATACAGGTCAGCATCACCTTTCTTCGATGGCCCCTTGATGCTTCTCGCCTTTGGGTCAACACTCACCACCTTGTCTTTGGGTGGTGTATTGACCAAACCACCCGTCCAGCACCCTAGGCTTATGCCTGTTTTGAACCAGATAACTCGCCTCGATCTACGTCTACTCTTGATCTACTCCGAAGGCCCGTCAACCACAGTCAGTTCACCGCACACCGTTTCTCTCCTCCATCAGTGCATCAATGTGCGGGACTTGGTGTTTGCGGACATGAACCAAGTCTTTTGGCTTCAAGAAACATTTGACTTCAGCTGCTTGTCCCATCTGAAACGCATTCATATATCGCCAGCGCGCACTCCGTACGCCGCTCAGGCTGTGGGTTTCCCCAAATCCTACCAAGTTGAATGGGTCGCTACCAAGAACATGTTGCACCTTCAATTCCATCTCTGTGTACCCAAAAAATCCACCGAAGCAGCCCGTGCAGCCATTCAAGTAAAACACAAGCTGTCCTGGGTGTGGTGTTTCTGTCCCGACTATATACACATGGCGAGCCGCAAAGACGTTGCTCTGCCAGCGGGAACACACGAAGCCGAGTACAACGTGTTCCACCGTGTCTGTCCCGTGGAAGAACCGTCTGGTCTGTATCAATTCTGATGAGCCATCGTTGTTGAACACCATCGTATTCACTCAACTCTAGTATCTTCAGACCATTGCTGCTTTACCTTGACGTTGTATCCTATACAGAATCATCTAGTGTCCTTGCCGAATATCATTCATCGAACTAGCAATTACATATACTCCCTTATAAGTCTCGCATCGAGCTTGGGATGGTAGGTAGATTCATTTCAGTAGGCACTCCGTTGCTCGCCCGTATAGCCCTACGCCAAGCATGATTCCGCCTGCCACTGACTTCTAAGCTTGTCCTATAAAAAACGTCGCGTTTGAGCAGACCGAATGAAAAGACGCACGTGGCACCATTCGCGCATCCCAGCCAGCTACAAGGGGCGTCAGAGAGCCGTCGCAGGTCTCCTTGTCTTGGTTACAAGGCGGTCGAGCGAGCGGGGAGGACCGGTCTTGCGGGTCATCGTGGCGCGGAGTCAAGATCGGCGTGGTCACATGTCCTCGGACCGATCGCCGCTTCTCTCTTCTCGACCACGACTACGAGTACGACCATGCGACATACCGTTCTGTCGCGCTGTGGCTATACCGGCGCCGCTGGGCATTCGAGGGAAAGCTTTGCTGCGTTATAAAGGTGACGCGACTCTGGAGTCTGAGGTTACTTAGCGGCCAAGAGGTACTTGCATTGCCTCCTCTCCCCGACTCTCCATCGTCATCTCCTGCCCTACGCGGACCATGTGCGCCATTTTACTCGCCGACGGGTAGTCTGGCCTGCTTGCTGTCTTAGCCTTTCCGCTCAGGCGTTGCTGACGCGTTTTCGCAGCCTACTCCTGAAGATGGCTTACCGCAAAGGACAAGAGTCGCGGGATCAGAGGGAAAACGTGTCAAGGGTTACAGGCAGAGAGAGCGCTGTGTTACAGCTCACAACTTCCCGCGTAGACACATCTTACCTTCCAAAACAGGCTTTACTTGTCAACTACAACAGCGCCGTCTTCTTCATTCCCTCTGCTCTTGCCTCTCCAACGTCCGCGTCCTTCCGCACCCGCCACCACGCCCGGCCTTTCCATAAGGAATCACGGAGGATGCTGCAAACGACTTCTCCTCTCCTCTCCGACCCCAATCCCATGCTGGTCTTCGAATGCAGCATTCTACTTGTGCGCGTGAGCGAGCGAAGCTCTCGCTTCATCTTCTCCCCATCTTCCTCACATCTTCGTCAAGCTCCAGGTCGACGACTACCTAGCCGTGCCCCACATCTCCCCTTCAACCGCAGCCTAACTAACGTGTCAATTTCTGCCTCCGGCTCTCTCCCTCTCCCTCGCCCCCCGTCCTTGTCGGCAACCCACATCCCTCCCTTTTCCTTTCCCGTCACCTTTTGTCTGGCTTACATTTCGGGAGAAATCGGCCAGGTCACGTGCCTCGCCGAGCCTCCGGCGCCAGCGCCGACTAGACGAGCGCGACTTGTATCGCTCTACCCAGAACCTCGCTCCGCTTCCTTCTTTCGGGCTGGGCTATTGGGGCATTGGGCGGGAAGCCCGTCGTTGTCGATGGGCACATTGGAGAGGCGGGGGCGGAAACGGTGTGTCTTCCCCAAGCTCTGTCCATTGGGAAAGTCTGTGCTCACCCATATCCTTCCAGCATGTTTCGGTCGTAAAAGCTCTGTCCCGCGGGCACGATCGCCACCCGCGTTCCCCTTCTAGACCGCTCCGACATTCCCGTCTTTGACAACGAGAGTTCCAAGACCAGTCATTCGCGGCAAACTGCAAGCGGAGACGCCAATTAGTGAGGATGGCTTGAGAAGCCACTGGGAAGGCGGATATCGGAAAGGTCAACGTGCGTCTACCAGTGCTTTTGATGTTTATTCCCCAGCTTGACTGGCCAAACAGTTGCGTCGCAGAAATCTTCAGCCTGAGAGCATGGATGTGCGCCAACGCTTTGCTGTGGAGCAGTACATTACTCACCAGCTCACTCACTGGCAACAGCCCCTTGAGACGCGCACACGATCTTCGCGCGCCAGACTAGAAGCTTGGAAGTTGGGAGAGTGTGTGCTGTCCTGGACGAGCTACGGATGGAGGTGAGTAAAGCTTACCGCCTTCTGTGTTATTCAGACTCAATCATCTTGGTTTGGGTAGCCAGACGCCCTCTGCGTCTCAACAGCAACATACAACACCTCCCTATCATAATCCATGGCCCCGCCCCGCCACGCTCGTGAAGCTCTGCCTTGCTATTGGCACTACAGTCTGGCAGCGATCAAGCTTGCTTCGACGCCTTCGGCCAAGAAAACGGCTCCCACCATCGCGCAAACAACAACACAATATCCAACGGCGCTTGTTTATTTCCCATCTGCTCGTTGCCCGCAAGGCACTTGCGTTCATCTACATACGGCTGCCAACGTCCAAATTGTCCTTGCCCTCTCTACTTTTTCCGCGCGTCGAGGTCTCTTTGCCAACTACTCCTCCCTTTCCGACGCTGCTGTTGTCCCCCAACCGGCAATGTCTCCATCGAGCACGACCGCGCTTTAGCTCTAGTTGCCATGTCTCGCTGTCGATGTACTGCGGGTGCTTCTCTGGCGGTTCGTGAACGACGTAAAGGGAATATCACTCCAGGAACCCCTCGAATCGTCGCGGAAGAGGTAGCGCTGGACAGCCCGTAGGGTATCTTGGTGATTGTCTCCCGTGTATTGTTTGTAATATCCTCATATTATATTCACTAGCTGACACGGTCGTTGCAGCGGGAACGAATCGTGATCTCGCTCGGCGTGTGATGCGGCGGCGCAGTGCTTGCCACCGACGCGGCCTGAAGGGATCCGGAGTCAACAACCGCCGTCCGCCGATGCTGATTCGGGCGGGGGTTGTTTCCCTCGGCTAATTCAAAGAAAACCGTGCCAGTTCGACGGTAGTCGCTCCCGATACAGTAAGTATTCTCATTCGCTTAAGTTGCTTGCAGCATAAATCCCTGCAGCAGCCTACAGCAGCGACATATTCTGAACTCGACTTCAAGTTCCACTCGTCAAGGCTAGTGGCTATTTCCTTTATGAACGGTTAAGGCATTGACACACATATAGAAACACCTCCATGCAATTCACCGCCCTCTTCGCCTCCCTCCTCATCGCCTGCGCCGCCGGCAGCGCCAACGCGACCACCCTGAAATGGCATGCCGGCGCGGGCTGCACCGGCGCCGTCATCGCCACACAACCCGCGGCCAAAGCGGGCCAGTGCGTGCTCCTCGCTAAGGGCCGCACCGCGCGGAGCATCTCCTTCAACGGCGCAAAGGGGATCGACTTCTTCGAGTCGGGCGGAAAGCATGACAACTGCGCGAACGGCCCGCAGGCGAGCAGCAAGAAGAACTCGGGCTGCGTGACCGCACCGGCTGGGTGCGTGTTTTTGCTGCTGGTGTTGCGAGGTGGACTGATGAGAATAATGTTAGATTCAACTGGGCGAGCGTGCGCCTCCGGTAGAGGAGCTATCTGAGCAGACCTAGATATACGCGCTCTTTTGAAATTTGTTTCATTGCAATGGTCTTTGGCGCAGGCTTTGAAATAGAATGCACTTCATAATGAAGAAGGACAAGAAGTCCATGCTTACTTTCTCAATACGGCCATGTGTGAATGAATACAGTCCGCGCTTGTCATCACTCAAGACGGAGCCTCGAGGCAGGAGTTAAGTGGCGAGTAACGCATGTAGATGGTACAAGAAAGCTTCATTAGCGGCTGAAGCTGGGCGGCGACTGGCGATACGAGCTTGAGCCATCCGAGTCCGTCATGACCAGTTTACTATGCCGCAGCGCCCTTGAAACAGTAGGGAAATTGTCCCCGCCGGCGTCCTTGTGTTGTTTGGAAGAGATATCGGAATCCTGCACTAAGCATTGAACGGCCTTCAATGCAGACATGGTTTATACCGAGGAGGTGGCAAGAGATTGAGGAGACCGGAGCGCTTCAACTTGAAAAGAGAGCCTGCGGGGCAGGATGTTAGGGACCATATCGGGAACAAGGGCCAAGCCTTGAATACCAGTGTCGTTTGGGACGGCTCCTCCCCAAAAATGCTTTGCTTCCCTAATATTCTCGACCGCGTCAGCTCTAGACGCGAGGCTTTGAGCTACTCCCCCTCGAGTATGTCCCACAGAACACCAGTCCCGTTTTGCCTTCCCCTCTCTGGCCTCAGAAGTTAGGCGCAAGGACGTGGCTGGCTTCGAACACCGTGCGCCTGCGAAGCGTCAGGCGTTTGGAAGCAACGTAGTCGACCGTCGTATGGTGGGAGAAAGAGCACGACGGCAGCATTCACCGCCGTCAGGCAAGCACTGTGGCACTACAAAACAGATCAGCACATAAGAACATGCATTGTACAGTTTAGGTCGGGTACCTTTTGTTGAGCACGCGGATAAGCGATGGATAGCCTCCCGAGTGTGTCTGGCGAGCGAAAAGAAGGTGTCCGCCATCGTCGTGGTGGAGAAGAGAGAAGATAGATCGGCGCCGGTCCGAGTGGCATGTCAGTGTGATCTGATCGTCTTTTTCTCCCCCCACCACGACAACCCACATGACGGCTGCTCCTCCGCTCGGACACCTCCTCGTTGAGCCATCTTATGGGGCTAGTAATCTGTCGCGGCTGCTGTGGTTGTCCTCGACTTCAAGAAATTCCTCCCAGCCCATGGGGAACCGTATGACGGTTTTTATCATTGGAAACTCGGAGCTTGCCGAGGGTGCTTGGAGGTTGGAGCTTTGAGCTTTGTTACGCAGCTGGAGCTGGGAGCTCTGAGGTGCACAGCATTAGTTTGGTCTGTGCTTGGTGCTTTCTACTTACATAAGGCTTCTGGATTTGGCCTAATTTGGAGCCAATACACATAGGTAGTGATTAGAACACTATCCTTCAATATACAACATTTTTATTCGGAACAACAATGAAAAAAATATCTAATGATATTTTTTAAAAAAATAAGTACACTCTGATTAAATATATGTTATACGAGGTAATGAACTATCCAAACCTGGCCACCCAATTCAGTTTATATAGCTAGTGTTAGGTAAATACCAAAATTACCAATTGTAAAATTGTTCTGAAAATAAATATGGCATGAATAAACCTTTACAACTGTTGTATCTGATAGTCCTCATTCCATTCCCTGAGAAGGACAAACTATGCCTATCTATAGGGCCAGCAAGTAAGCAGGTATCTTCAACACAATCATGTTCTGCTAGCAAGGGAGGATCCAAAGAGTGAAAAATGGAAAGTAAATACAAATAAAGCTGACCTAACAGGGGAACATCTAAGGAGAAGAAACTCTAGGGTGTTGGCAGGGGTAAACACAGAGTTGAACAACCAGAGATGGAGATGTTTCTAGGCTAGAGCACGGGTTCGGGTAAACCCGCCGGGTCACCGGGTCGGGTACACCGGGTCCGGGTACCGGGTTGCTCAGAATTTAGACCCGGATGAGCCCTGACCCGATGCCGGGTCACCCGGCGGGTATCACCGACGGATCATTGTCACACCGAGTCACGCGGAGCTGACGTGGCCAAGACCTTGGCGCAACCCACTTCATTCCTGGCTCTCCTCACTGCAACCTCCTCTCACTGCGGCCCTGGATGGCCCTGGACCAGTCTCAGGGCTCATAGGAGCTGGTCAAGCGCCTCAAGCCCCTCCACTGCCCGTTATAACATCAAGCCAAGTGGGCTTTTCGAGTGAGCACATCTTCCTTTGCTCTCCTTCTCCTTGCGCTCACACATGTCAGTCTCGTCTCGGGCCTCGAGCATCATCTCGAGGACCGCTGCTTCTCTCAAAAAAGTCGCCAAAACTGTTCAGCGGAAGGCTAAGGTGATCGTACAATCGAAGTCGAGCGGCAGTACGAATATCTTTCGAGTAATATCCATTTACTGACATTTTCTCAAGGCAAGAATGGTTCCAAAGCTCCTCATAACACCGATGTGGGTAAAGATTCAGGCAACAACGAGCCTAACAGTATGTCTATCTATGCATTGTTGTTTCTGCGCTCTGATATGTTCCTCTAGCCAGCAAATGGTCCTCCGGTTATTATCAATTCTACCACCCAAATCCGAAGGTGCTGGAGGACAAAGACGGACGTCAATATCAGGAGTTTCGCTGTGCTGCAAAGCCCAGATGCAAGAGCAAAGGTGCGTCAGCCGGTCCATCTTTCTTCGTTCTACTCACAGGATGTGCAGATTTCAAAGGAATCAAGCGCTACCAGACGCGCGAAGATGGCCAGCCGTCCAAAGACCGCTCATCGACTTCGAATTTGAAGAGGCATGCTGAGAAGTGCTGGGGGGTGGACTTGGTGCGGGAGCGGGTCGAGGGAGTGAAGCAGAAGGGGCCGCGAGACGGGGACATATTTGCAGCTTGGGCTGGAGCTTCACAACGCCCAGTCAAAGTCTCGCATCGGATGCACACCGAGCCTGAGTTTCGGTGCGGGCATTTTGCTTGATTGATTCTCAATTTCTCATCCTATGCTTGCGCAGCTGCCATGTCGTTCGCTGGTTGGCCGAAGCGTCTCGCTCGTTCAGGACTATCGAAGATCGCGAGTTGAAAGAGATTCTCTCGGCCGGACGTCCTGAATTCAGCCCACCAAGCCGTTTTACGGTTGCTCGTGATCTACAGGCTGCTTTCGAACGCTGCTCAGCTCACATCAAGAATCTTCTGGAGGTTTGTCTTATTTCGTCCTCAAATGCGAGCTTATACTTCTCCAGAACTATCCTGGTCGCCTCAGCTTTGCTACCGACGCGTGGACATCACCCAACCACCGTGCATTTGTTGCATGGACGGTACATCTTCAGCACGAAGGCCATCCACTGGTCTTTCTCTTGGACATCTACGAGGTCCCAAAGGTGTGTGCATGTGTCTGTGCTTCCTTTACAATGCTGACTATCCGGTGTAGTCTCACAGTGGCGAAACGCTCGCCGCTGAATTCAACGAAATGTTACACCGATTCAACCTTCAAGCTAAGGTGTGTATAATCCTTCTCAGCGATGAGTAAACACTGATATCTTCAGATCCTCGCTTGGGCGGGTGACAACGCAACCTCGAACGACACGCAGAACACCGCACTCGCCGAAAACGTGAACAATGTATTCGATGCAGCCAACCGCGTTCGTTGTTTCAACCATACGCTCAATCTTGCTGCGAAGGCCTTTCTTCGACCTTTTCAACCGCCCGAGAAGAAGAAGCGGAAAGATGGAGAGGAAGACAAGGGTGAGGATGGCGATGGCGATGGCGATGAGGCACCAGAGTTGGAACTGGAGGATGACGAGACAGATTCGCTATCTGACTTGGCCGAGGTCGACGATGGTGAGCTCCTCGATCCTCCTTGACCAAGCTAACACTGCTATAGACGGGCTTGACGATAGTGAAAACGAACCAGACGTGTTCGACACTCTATCACCGGAAGAGCAGGAGGAATACAAGGTGGCTACAAAGGAGATTCGAACGCTTATAAGCAGGGTGTGTCCATTGTCATAATCCTCTCCACCCATACTGAATGCGGCCTAGATTCGCAAGCTTGCCTTCGCTATTATCAACTCAACCACGATCGCTTTACCTGCCTGGAGGAACGAATGCAACAAGCACAATGTTCGCGTCCGCCTCATCCCCCGCGACGTGCGCACACGATGGAACTCCACCTATGATATGCTGTTATTCGTCATCAAGTACAAGTCGGTCATTAATGACATTACGGCCAATCGAAACCTCAGCCTACGCCAATACGATGTTACAGATGACGAGTGGAAGATCCTGGACGAGATGGCATATGTCCTCAAGGTAAATATCATGTTCTATCCACGCTGCTTCGCTGACATTACCTAGACGTTCAAAGATGCAACAATCCTCTTCTCGTCCGACAGGAAGAGCCACATTGCCGATGTCATTCCCACCATGGACAAGATCGACGACCTCATCACAACGACCGTTCTCCCATCGCGCTCAGCCACTGCCGCCCGTTCGCAAATGGTCGTCCGCTTGCCAATCCGCAAAGCGCTCCATCTTGCCAAAGCAACCCTCAACAAGTATTACTCGCATACTGACGCGTCAAACGTCTATCGCATCGCAATGAGTACGCACTCTGTCTGTTCCCATCTATCTGTAGCTGATTTCCATTAGTCCTTCATCCACAATTGAAGCTGCATTACTTCAAGTCTCGAAAGTGGGAGCAGTCGTGGATCGATACAGCACAGGAGCTGGCTGAGGAGGAGTTTCGGAGCTATGAGAGGGCCGAGAGGGAGAGGGACACGGACATTGAGATACTGGGTGGCGACGACACACTAAGCAGTGATGCGGTACGTCTTTCGTTCTCATTGATCTACAGTAACCTACTTTTGCTTCCAGGCGAGCATGTCTTCGAGCGCAGCTGCGATGGAAGAGGTGGAGGAAGAGTTTCTGAATTACAACTTCGGGACAGACGAGGACAAGAGCGAGTTGGACTTGTACCTTGCTCAGGCGCCAGACCCCAAGGCTGGTGATCCGATGGTCTGGTGGTGGGAGCGCCGCCACATCTGGCCTGTCCTCTCCAAGATGGCGCTGGATTATCTAAGTATACCTGGTGCGTTGTTATATCATCTTTTAACAATTTCTGATCTTTTTTCCAGCCACGTCGACAGCCGTCGAGCGTGTCTTCTCCCAAGGTCGACACTTACTTGTATATACACGCAATCGGCTGACAGGCGCTTCTATTCGGAAGTGCCTCTGCTTCGGGAGCTGGAGCCGCAACGACATCGTCCGCAATCAAGATATCATCGACGCCATCAAGGTCAATATGGGACAACGGGCAAATATTAGCGGGAAAAGGAAGGCTGTGGAGCAGGAGGAGGAGTCGATTGAAGAACAGCCGGGAAAAAAGCTCCACAAGTAGTATCTCATGTTTTTTTTACGGTGCTAAGTGTTTTAATCAACTGCTTACGTCCTTGGCATTTGTGTAATTTTGCACCCGGGGGGTTAACCCGGACCCGAAGCACCCGGACCCGGTGGGGTCAGGGTAGTTGAGGGTCAGGGTCAGGGTTGACCTCTCGGTACCCTGACCCTGACCCGTGCTCTACCCTAGATGTTTCTAGGGGCTAAAGGGAATGTTCCCCTGACAGCAGTCTCTGTCTCTGTTATTTAGAGATATAACTTAGGTATAATATCATTGTCTCTGATATTAGGCCTGGTAAACTAGTAGTCTAGTATGGCAACAGGAGAGTCTTATAGGGATGATATTGATGTTAACCAAAGCTTTGAATCGTCAAATATAATAGGTAAAACAGTCAATACACACAGATACTAGATCAAGAGCCTGAGGATGTAAGGGCAACCCCAGAGGCCTGAGATCAAGGTTCCAGCAGGGGCCGATCCAAAGCATGAACATTGGTAAGCAAGTACAAATGAGGCTGACCTAGCAGGGGAGGATTCAAAGAGAAGAAACTCTAAGAGTCCACCTGCTAGGGAGCCGACTATATACTGCTTGTCCATAGCTGCTGCTGTCAGGCATGGAAGGCCTGGGCAGTGTCACAGGCAAGTTCCCAGGGCAACCATTGGGAGGGTATTGAAGGATTGGTGATTGTGTGGGCGAAATGGAGGGCTGGACCGGAACCGGAATTGGAGATGTCTCCAAGGGGCCAAAAGGGAGGTTCCCCTGACAGAGGAAACTGGGTGATTGTCAGGACTCAGGCTTTGGGTCAGGCCATGCAAGGCTTTTCTTGGGAACATGTACCTGGAACAGAACAGATGAGTTGTACTGTACTTATAATGCATATGGCAGAATGGGTTTTGTAATAATACTGCCTGGCACTATAGCACTACAATAATGCCAGTTTACTGCCATAAGGCACAACATCCCTTGATATGAATAACATTGCATTTGTTTTTTGGTTATGTTTGCATAACATCCAAAGTAAATCCTCTATATCCCATAGGGCTTTTTCTTTTTCCTTTCTACCAACCTTCAGCTGCTTGGGTAGTTCTTCATCCGAGACTGAGTCAAATTTCTACGAAAATGTTACACTTTCTAGGCTGATCACTGATGACAGCAGCACATTTGATCCCATCATCAATTTCTGATGATATCATCAACCTCCACCACATCACACCAACCAACCCCAAACGAAGGCTAGCACAGCCTTACCATATTTGGTTAGATGATATTATCCATCAATCCATCAATGACTCAGACCGAGTCATATCAATCTGAGTCAGAGTGAGTCATGCCATGAGTCAGGGTGAGTCGGTATGAGTCAGAGTGAGTCAGTATTAGTCAGCCTGGAATTAGTATATAAGGAGGAGGACGCTGGTGGCCTTCTGCCCCCAGCGCTTTTATTCTCTTTTCCCTCCTACCTCCTGGGAAATAGTCATCCGGTTGTATCATACCTATCAATACAACTTGATCTCATCATCAACCACTACGAAGTTAGATCATTTGATCATCCATTAAGTTGGCCCATCATCTGATCCGGCTTTGTTTGTGACAGAAAACAAGTATAGAAATTATAGTTGAATATATTCATAACATAATTTATATTTTTCATCCAATATGATTATACTATACTACAAATACATTATTGTGTTGAGACTCTGAATATCTTATGAATTTAATATATTACCTCTCAAACATCATATAATTGTATTTGGTCAGCACTAGTTTACTGAGACTTATCACTAATATATATAAGATATTGTACTTTGCCTGTACTTCATAGTATTATAATATGCCTATAAATTTTTATTAACAGAAATCTAATATCAGTCACATTAGTTTCATCACACAGGTGTTCCCTTTCCGCCTTGTTCGGAAACTTGTCACATCTATCACAGCCGTGACACAGTTACTGTAGTATTTTACTCAATTCGAATGCCAAAAATGGCGTGACATTTGATACGAAAATTTGAATTCGAATTATTGCCTAATTAGGAAATTCTTGGCGCCGGAGGCGCCCGGAAACGTCATAAATTGCCTTTTTGGGACACAAATTTGAGTAAAACAGTGTGACATGTGAAAAAAATTCGAATTTTATGGCAAGTGTGACACGTGACATGCGAACTGAGTAAAATACTACAGTAGTACCTAAGACTGGTATTAGCTCTTAACGTTTCTAAAGGCCCAAACAGCCTGAAGGACAAAGAATGTTGTGGCCATGACATTAGTAACACTTGATAAAATCAAATGTTGTGTACCTTATTCTGATATTTATTATCACCATATATATAGTCCCTTCATATATTATTCTCATTTTTTGCTGATTTTCCCCTTAGTTTCATGATTTGTCTAGAGGATTTCTACAAAATCATGATTTGCCCTGATATGATTAAATTGTCCCAAGATTATTCAGCACATCAACAATTTTCACCTCCAACCTCTATTCTATGAGCTGCAAACTCAAGCTCCAAGCTCTCATCTGTGACCTCCAAGCTCCTAGCACAACCTCCAAACTGTCACAAAAGCTCACTTCACAAAACTCCAAAATGGTCAAAAAGCTCACAATTCTAATAAACAATGAAAAAACATGTTATAGAACCGGACACTCAGGCTGGCACCATGACGCTGAGCGAGGCTAGGGTTTCCCCAGCTCGTACGACCGTGCCAAGGCGCGTGCATTGGGGGGAGCGAGGGCTTGACACGGTAGAAGCCGCCGCTATGGCTGGGAAACAGGAAGGTGCGCTCTCCAATCTTTTAGGCGCTTCAAGTTGATAACTTGTCTTGTGTAGCTTCCGCAACCATGGGCGAATGACACGAGAACCGAAAAAGTACCCACTCTACATGTCCTCTCGTAGATGGAACCTTCTATTCAGCACTACTGGAGCCGCATGCCATTGACTAGGCCGTCATATTATTATTATTATTATTCGGGGCATAAGGTCCCAAATCTGGGTACCGCCCAACTCAAGAGGCTAGCGGGGGTGAGCTGTACCCTCCAGGGAGTATGTCGACCCCCTACCCGCTCTCAGGAGCCATACAATCAAGCACTAAGCTACACCCGTGACGTTGCCCTCACACCGACTATGAACAAGTGTCAAGCGGACCAGAGACCCACGCGCCGCGGCTGGCCCTCGCAGGGCAGGATCACTGGATAAAACCCTCCGTGAAAACCCAGTGGGAAAAAACACGGTGGGACGCAGACGGAGTTCTCCCCTCCTGCGTGCAAATCCCCAGGCGGGTTGTATCCAGAATCGTGTGGTTGTGCGCTTGGACACTTTCGTGAGGTTGTCACTTTTTTTGATGGAGATCTTCGTGAGGTTGGCTCGCCAAGACTTTTTCGGTGGGAGATGATGTGAATCAACTGCTCGGGTTGCGGCGCCAGCTTTTCCACCCCGGACCCCGACCAGGGCCTTGCCCTGGACCCACCCGGCCGGGAGCCATCGCTCGCCGCGGGGCCCGCTGCGAGCGTTCCTCTCTTTCTCCCTCCTTCTCTCCCTTTTCCGTGCGCTCCGGAGTCTTTTATCACGTAGTTGCGGCGCCGGCCGCGACGGCCGGGGTTTTCCACCCCGGACCCCGGGCTGCCGCTCGCCGCGAAGGCCCGCTAGGACCCCCGAACATTCCCTATCACCTGGATCCGCGAGCCGGACCCCCATGTCCGAATTGGGCCGCCTGCGGCGGCCCCAGGTGTCCGAATTTGCATCAAGGTTCCAACAAAAAGCGGCCAAAATCGCCGAAGAACACAAAAAAACCAAAATGGTGTTACAGGAATAGTATTAGTGGTACACAAGCTATGTAGGCCTCTATAAACAGTCGTTTTCTGAACCCTCGTCATCTGAATCCTCATTCTGAACCTTCTTGCGTGACTTGAATGCTTTGATCGCCTCGAAAACCTTCCGTGCCTCGGATTTGAGCTCATTGAATATTGCTAGATCCTCCCGCTCAAGCTGGAGACAACGATTGGTGGCGACACCAGTCACCTTCGGGGTAACTAAACAGAGAACATGGATGGCGGGTACTGGGGTAAAATGAAATGTCCCGAGGAGTCGTGTGTTCTTCGTCAGCGGTCGGAAGCTTCCCTGTCGTTGGTGCTCGAAGATTTGAAGTGCAATATTGGAAAAGGCGGTGATTTTATCTTTGCCGTCCATGACCGCAGAGTGTGTCGAGTTCTTCGCGCCGCTGCGTGAATAACAAGTCAAAACTATCATTGTATGAGCAAATTGCACATGCAAAGTGAAGACGTGACCTTGACCGATGACAATATTCTTGGATACAGGTGTGCCATAAGCAAGAGCAACGAGGACATAATCGCCAACTCGAAGGGGCCGATGTACTGTAATACGGCCGGTGGGCCGTGGCCAGATGTTCCGAGTACTTCAGACTGGGCCAAAAGAATTCGCCGAAACCCAGGTAGCGGCGCGAAATCGGCGGGAGGCGGCGCTCCCGGTTTTTTTGTAGACAATATCTCCGCGAGTAGTGCACATAATGACACACTTCATACACCATTCGATAGAGTTCGCTGAGCTGTTCCGAATGCACCACTGTGCGGCTCGAATGGTGCCCGCGTTGGTGAGCACTTGTCTTGAGAAATGTTGGGGTGGCGGCTCGTATCGGCGGGTGGCGGAAGTGACAGTGCATTTCGCCGCATTCTTTTCGGTAGCGGCACTGGATAGCAGTAGTGAGGCGGCGGGTATCGGCTCTTCCACATAGTGGTAGCGGCTCTGGTGTGACAGGTGGCGGCTCCCAGCCAAATGAGGTGAGCGGCGATGTTATAGTGCCGCAACCCCAGTAAGCGGCAGTTGCAGCTGTCTTTCCACCACTGCCGTCCTCCTCATTGGAAAGTTTCCATCACCACCCTCGCTAGCGCTCTTCTTGTGAATGCATGTCGCATTGCCGTCGTTGTCGTCGCTCTTGGTCGTGGCCATCAACGCTCGCCGACGGCGAGACGGCGACAGTGGTGACACGTGGCAAGATCAATCTTTCTTTCGCTCCACCATGTCTACCACGGTCTGGCCGGCGTTCTCTTGCTCCTGGTGAATCCTGACTGTAGGCGACTAAGCTACGTTTGCTCGGCCGCCCTTTCCGCGCGCTGCGCCCCCGGGGCATCATCCCTCGTTCAACGCGGCCTGAGTGGCAACTTGAACCTTGGCTACCTCCTGGTTCTCATCTATGTTGGCATTGCGTGTCCACATTGTATCCCTTACGCTTCCCACCCTGTGCCAGGCGGCGCCACGCAGCTTGTCGCCCTCAGCACTGTTATGCGCGCCTTCTCCTCTGGCGCGTCTCTGTTGTCGTTGCTCCGCAGCAGTGACTAGTCGCCCGTTGCTTACCAGGCAGCGTAAGCAGTATGATGGACTCCGTCCTCGGGGTCGAGGTCTCCCGAAGATACAAAAACTCAAGCTTTACAGGGCCCACTCTCCGCGCCGTGGCCTGGAACGCCCCGACTGTGGCATCTCGTCTGGAGCCTTGCCTCTCACCAGCTCGACTTACTGAGGCCCGCAAGTGCCTTCACCGTCTTCCCCTCCATTGCCTGCCTCACTCGGTTTCAAGGTCCCGGTCGCTCTTGCCGTTCCCGTTTGGCTTCGGGCTGCCGTTCTTCAGCCCAGTGACGAAGTTCTTGCCCACGGCGACATCTTGACCTGACGCCGGCCGGCTCTGGCGGGACCGACAACCTTGCGGCGCTCACAATCATCACGGAAATGAACAGCTTGCGAACACTGGGACCCCACATCGTTATCGCGGCCGCACTGTCTCTGCGTGGTTGTCCCTTTACCGACGTCGTGGTGTAGCCCCAGTGAAATTACAGGCGCGCTGCACGTGGTACGGATCGGCGCGGGCAAGGGCCGCCTGCCCCATAGTGGCGTGGCGGACTTTGCGGAGAACCGGCGCATGCACGTCCGCACGTCAACATGACACCGCGAGCAGGCTCATCAAGCAGGGCATGGACGCGACAATGCCAGCGCTCGCCAATGTACCAGCGCTCGCCGACGGGCCATCGACGGCAAGATTAAACTCAACGCGAATGTAGCACGCTCAATGCGGACATTCATCTACATGACAGGCTTCGGGGACGTGCAAGCGTTCATCCGCAACGAGACGCGATCGCAGACCCGCACCGGCCCATGTGCATTGTGGGGGCGGTTCGACGAACGGATAGTGGGCGGCGCAACCGCGGCATGAGCCGCCTCCCCTCCAGGCACCTCACGCTCCAGATTGAGAAGACTCGGAGGGTATTGTCTGCGTGAAATCCACTGGAGAGGGTGAGTTGTAGACACAAAAATGGGCAGTGTAGAGCAGAATATGAAGTCTTTTTGTCCTTCTGAGTCCAGGTCAAGATACTTGTTTCTTTAAGTCTGCAAGGCCATCTACTCAATACGCGACATCCTATGTGCTGCACCTGCGTCGCATAGGTGGTATTGTGTTGAATATTCAGGTGTTCATGCTCTAATTCTCAATCCCTCAAAAATTAATCATTACTTAAAATGGCATTTTTGGAGGAAGGACTTTGAATTTGATGACGAGGTTTTCACTATGATATACTGAATGTACTGGGCTATCAATACCACCAAAAATCTCAAATCATAAAAATTAGGTACTTTGCTGCTATCCCTTGTGCAGCCCAATGACAGCGCCGCGGCGAGAGTGAAGCAGCAGCAAAGAACAGCACAATGCTGGACAGGTGACAGAGAGCCTTGCTCAGCTGTCTGCAAGGGATTGGGGTGCATATACAACCTTGTTAACATAGTGTCAAGCTAATCCCTCAAAAATTAATCATTACTTAAAATGGAAATTCTGAACGAACAACTTTGAATTAGAAGGTGGGGTCTTCACTATTGTATACTAGACGTCAAGATCTACCGATTCCTACAAAAATCTCAAATGACAAAAATTGAGTAGTTCGCCGCTACCCCGCCGCTACCCTGCCGCTACCCCTTGTGCGGCGCGATAGCAGCGCCCGCGGCGACGGCGGAGACGCAGCAGACACTGCCGCAACCGTCAACGGCCTTCAGATTGCAGTACTGGGACTTTTGGGCTCGTTATTGAGGCCAACGTCGTTAACGTCGGTGACAACGGTGACAACTGTGATGATGACCGTGACAACTGTGAAAGAGTCAATGACACATGATACACATCTTTTCCTTCTCTCTTCCGCTCCACTACCACCAGTCATCGGCGGCGGCGGCCCCTCTGCTAGTGGTCGACCGGCACTACGGCAGCCATCATCGTTAGCGTGGCCCGCGACTTCGCAGGGCTATCCACCGACCTGTCACCTCGCAAGCGCCGCGCAAATGCATAAGGACCTTGCGGCGTGAGCCGGCTTGCTTTGGCTCTTGGGGATCAGATGACTTCCCGCTAGAGCAGCTCTGGCAAAGACGTGGCCACAAACCTTCAATTCTGTGTCTTGCGAGCCACATTTAGCCGAAGCATTGGCTCTCCGAGTCCTCGTCTTGTACCTGCCGCGACTACCCTGCTAAAACGATGCCGACCCTCCAGGAAATGGAAAGCGGCAGCCACCGAATTCGTGGCCTGCTGGCCTGCTGTCACCCGCGCATAGACCAGACGCGCAAGCTCCCGGTTCGGTCCTTAGAACGCGCTCAACGGCAATGACCTCGGGTATGTCCCGCAAGGCTTCGCGGACGTGGGCAATGCTCTCCGGAGGCGGTTCGGGCCAAAACAGCCAATATTTGGCCAGAGCTCGCCCGAGTCGCGCCTGGTGCTGGCCTGTATTCAGCCGGTGGATCGCCGAGCAACTTGGAGCAAGTCACCAGCAAGTACGGCGCCTTGCGCTTGCCAGTGTCGGCACCGGAGATGTTACTGTTTTGATTGTCGTCACCTCCTTTGCTGACCAGTGGCGTATTTTGTGCTCGTCGGGGTGTTCTGAGCGAGTCTGGGGCTGCCTTGAGGCGGCGCGCCGGCGAAGGGCAGGAGAGGCGAGTGGCAGCCTGCTTGAGGGAGAGGGAGAGACCACTGCTGTGGCATCTGCACAAGCTATCCGATGACGCCCGCAGCCGCTCCACACTGGCCTACGGTTGCGCCTGGCTCGCCCGATTGAAGTTTGTGCTCGATACATACTGCTGATCTCGCAGAATTTGTTGTACGGTGTTTGGTATTTACTTGTCATATGCTGTTAAGAGTGATCACAGGACACCATGCACCATGACCAAAGATGAATATATATACAGTTATATCTGCAAATACCTTGTTTGTTTATGTGTTCATGTCCTAATCCTCAATCCCTCACAAATGTACTATTACTTAAAATGGAAATTCTAAAGGAACTACTCCGAATTGGAAGGTGGGGTCTTCACTACTGTATACTAGACTATCAGGGCTACCTATCCTTACAGAAATTTCAAATCACAAAAATTGAGTATTTCGCCGCTACCCCTTGTGCGGCGCCAATGCGGCGCGAAGGCAGCGCCGCGGTGACAGCGAAACAATAGTAGACAGTGCCACAGTACTCAACAGCTGTCAGAGGTCAGTATCATGACCTCTGAGTGATATACCGTTTGTTGCAGTCGGTGGGACAGTCCGACAGTGGCCGGTGTCATCGGTCCCTCGGCATCAATTTCTTTGCCTAAAATGGACATAGCGGTGGAACGACTACAAATTTCATGCTGGGGTCTTCACTACAGCACATAAGAGGTTATAAGGCATCTTTCTATATGAAAAAGTGGAAACCTAAAAATTAGTAACTTCGCCGCCTCCTGCTGTGTGACGGCGATGAGCTCGTTGTGACATGGGACGACGTCGCCATGGGCACCGCTGGAGCCGGACCCTTGGTTGGAGCCATGCGGCCCCAGTTGCGGCACACGAAGGCTACTCGCTGTCGTGTCCAGCGCCAAGGCCACACCGCGTTGAGCGGCGAAGTGCATGTTTGTGTCAAAACAGGTACTTCGCCGCTACCCAGCCGCTACTCCACCATGTGACGGTGGCGGAAGCGTGACATGGGAAAGCGGCGATGGGGGTAAGGGCAGCGGCGGTTCGCGGCAGGTGGGCGGCGGTAGACGGCGAAATCTATCTGCCCCCACGAGACCCACCACTCGTCCGCGTCGTCCGCGGCGTTGTAGCTGAACACCATCCTTGTCTCGTCGATCATCTCCTGCATTTCCCCTTCTGCCTGGAACACGTTCCTCCCCGCGGCCGTGTTCTCCCGCATCATCGTGTCGCGTCCCTGTTGGGCCGGCCCGTCCGGCGTCGTGATCATACCAATGTACGCCGCGTCGATCCCGCAGATGAATGCGCAGCGCGCGCGGCAGTGCTCCTCGAACGCGTACAGCAGCTCGGGGACCCGGCCCGGCGCGGCCGTGTGCGTGAACACACGGCCCAGGAAAACTGCGTCCTCGAGCGCGAGCGAGTACGTGTGCAGCGCGCAGGGCGGCAGCGGGTGCGCGGCCTCGCCGAGCGCGAGCACGTGACCGCTCTCCGAGACCCAGGACTCCAGGTCGTACGGGGTGTGGACCAGTGGTCCCATATTCGTGTGGTTGTGCGTTTGCCCGTCTTCGTGAGGATGTTACTTCAATTCAATCTTTGACAGTTGGGATCAGCGGAGAAGCCAGACACAAGCGGGGAGATGATGGAAATACTTGGCACAGCTCCGCGCAGCGGGCCAGGACCCCCGAACATTCCCTATCACCTGGCTACCGATTCGGACACCAAACGGCCGCGAAGCGGCCGGAACCTGGGCGAAAATTCGGACACAGACCCAGGATTTTGGCCCAAACCTACCCCCAAATTCGGACATGCGACCCGGCGATGCCGACCTGAGAGTGACATTGTGTGACATCCTCTCACACTCATCGCACTCACATCCTGGCGCATCCGTGCCTTCCTCCGTCGTACATTCTGTTCCAGTACCCACTTAACAATATCATGTCCTTCTACCCCCCCTTCTTGGGGCAGATATATTTTGCCGCCCTCCGCCGCCCACCAGCCGCCCACCGCCGCGTCACCTAGCCCCATCGCCGCCCACCTCTGTCACGCTGCCGCGGCAGTCACACCAGTGGGTGGGCGGCGGGGGTGGGCGGCGAAGTGCATGATCTGACGTAATCATGCATCGTCGACGTCGATCAATGCCACTAGGACTTGGCGCCAACGCCATCCCTTGCGGTCTTGCAGCACTAGATGGTGGATCTGCGTGGCAGACACTCACGCTAACAGCTAACATCCTCTCCGTTGGCTTTAGGGCCGCGGCGGCCATGTTAGCGTGCCACCCAGAGCGCCGCCCAGGGGTGGGCGGCGAAGTACTCAATTTTAAGGTTTTGGGATTTTTGTTGAATTACATACTCTTGGGTGTTCTGTACACAGTAGTGAACACCCCAATGCATAATTTGTAGTCGTTGTGCTGCTATTTACATTCTAAGTAATGATAAATTTTTAGGGATTGTTAAATTGACATGTTACATCATGTGGAATCATTGTGGATAACCCCTCATCTTGTAGAATTGAAATGTCGGGCATACCCCTCGTAGGGCAACCGGTGTTACCAACGCGGCGCGTGCGCTTCTGTCGGGACTCGGCATGGCTCAAGCACGGGCGCCGCTCCAAAGAGAAGAACATCCCCACATCGTCGAGCTATCCGACACCTCCATGACACCTTCAACGCGGATGCGTATACACCCAACCACCACAGATCTGCATCGGGGAACTTCAAATATGTGATTGCACGTGTATCCGCACCAGGGTCCAGGTCCATGGCAGCGAGCGCGAGGCGCAATCGGGCTAGCGGGCATCAAGGCAGCGGCCAGCGTGGATGGTGCTATGCTCCACTCGGATCGGGCTGGTAAGCACCGGTCATCGCTATCTACCGTAGCACCGGTATCCACACACTGCAGTTTGTTGCTGGACTATCGCCGCCGAGGCCGCTTGCTGTTGCAGAATGACTGGCCGCCATTCACTTGAGTCCCAAACTTGAAGGAAGTAGGCGGCGTGGTGGGCGGCACAAAATAGACTAGTGTCGCAGTCACCACGCCGAGAAGTCCAGGCCGGTCTCGCACGAGGGGCCTGCATCTCGTGAATCAGTTAGTTGAGTTCAGCATAATGATAAGAGAAGGCGGGGACGCACCGTCGTGGACAGTTGCCACCGGAGTTGTGTCGGGGACAGCACTGTACATTACCGCTCACCCTCAAAAGACGGTGGGCTCTCCATGGCAAGCGGGTTGTGTGCACGCGAGAGAGTGTCGTCGACGGTGTGCAAGGATACTCGCGACGAGGTCCCGAGGGAGTTTCTGCGTGTTACGCTCGGGAACAGCCGCGCGAAGTCGAGCTTGTGACAAGATATTTCGCCCAGCACATCGAGCGTGAATCGCGAAGCCACTCAACAAGCAGGCGGAACAGTAGGCGGCGCTAATCAGACTGAATAACTGTACCGTGGCCGCGCACCATCTGCCGCCGCCGCCGATGAGACTCGGAGGGAGAGCACTGCCAAGGTCAGCTTGCTGAGCATAATGCCTTACCACGTTGCTGGACATGCGTGGCATTGGCGTGAAGTAGCAAGATAATGCGGGTCCGTCCTCAACCGGGGAGTCGCACGGGGAGCAGCCGAGCCGCTCATCAACCCGCGTACCAACTTGAAGCTGCGCAGTGCGGCAGCGGGCGGCGGGCGGCCATGTGCTTTGGGTTTGTGTGAGCTCGAGGTTTGTGTGAGGGCACCGACGTTGGGTTCTTGAGGTCACAGGGGGGGCCGTGGCCGAGGGCACGTCGGGATGGTGGTGGAGCGAAGGCAAGATGCAGAGATCTCAATCACTGATCATCTGTCAGTGTCGACGCCGCCGGCGAACGTTGATGGCGACGACGACGACGGGCGCGGGCAACGCAACATGCGTTCACGACCTGGAGGAGTGGCCAGCGACGAAGGCGACGGCCTTGTGGTGACTAGGAGTGAGGTCGAGGGAAGAGAGCGGCGCCGCAGCTGCCGCTTACTGGGGTGGGCGGCCGTGTTCATCGCCGCCCTCCTCGCTTGGCTGAGAGCCGCCCTCTGTCACACGAGAGCCGCGCTCAGTTGTGCGAGAGCCGCCCACAGCCGCGGCAGCACTGCCACCAGCCGCCCACCGCGAAAAGAGGGCGGCGAAATTCAGGCCCAAAGCCGCCCACCGCCGCGTCCGAGCCGTCCACCGCCGCGTCCGAGCCGCCCACCCAAAAAGTCCAAGGGCGATGCCCCACAACGAAGCCACCGTTCGAGCCGCTCAGTGGCACGTTCGAAAGGGCTCGTTGGGGGCTATCGAACGGCGCAACAATGTCGCCATTATGTTAAGTAGGTACAAAGATATTGTCTACCCAATTTTCACAGAGCCGCCCACCAGCCGCTTCCGAGCCGCCCACCCCAAAAGCGGCGAAATCTTTTTGCCCCAGCTTCTGTCGTCGCCATTCTAGTCGTCCTTCTTCTCTTTCGTTAGTGTTCTCTTCTCGGGTGCAAACAGCTCGTGGAGGAGGGAGGGGAAGAAGAACTGAAGAGGGTCGCATCGGGCGACAGACGGCTGGCACTTTGTGTGGGCCCTCCCACGTGACCAGCGACGCGCCCATCACGAAAACGCCAGTGAATAATTTACTTCCGTATGATCGAAGCGCCGTCTCGCCGCTGTGTACTAATACCCAAGCTACGCGAGCGCTTACCGGCAAAACCCATCGCGCGGCATGCATCCCGCGCACGCAAAGACATCACTGATCTTTCCAGTCGCGGATCCGGACAGCGAGCACTGAAGAGAAGAGAAGTTCGCCTCGCCAGCAAAATGTGACTCTGCGGCGCCGGTCCTGGCCTCCCTCATGATCCGGCCCCGCGACTCGCACTCTAAAGGCGCTAGCTATCGCACGTGCCAGTGACAAGCGACATGGGCTTCTTCCTCTGATCCACCCAGGATCCACCACGGACGACCGCCTCACCTTACGGTTCCCTTTGCTCAGGCACCTGGGCTTGCCATACTCCCAGAGAGAGGTCCGGCCCGGGTGCGTTGCGCCCAGCCACCCGATGTCCCGCTGACTCCTTTTTTTTTTTCACCTGTGGCGACGGCACATCGGCAGTCAAGAATTGCATACTACTGTGGTGCATCTGTTCAATGCAACATACTAGCATTTAGATGTAATGTGGGCACAGCGGTTGGGCCAATCGGCTCGTCCAGCAACAACAATAGATTAGACAAGAATGGATAAAGCTATTTGGTACACCAGGTGTGACAGTAAACCGTGCCCCAAATAGATGATTGTCTATTTGGTACACTGTTGATGATTGATGTGACAAGCGTTACACATAGATATCCTTTGATAATTAGAGCTTATTAGCTGCTAGGATAAACCCATTTTTTGCTTTTCCAGTGCTTCTAGTTGCCCTGGAACCTTTGTTCTAACAATCTGACAGGTGGAGCATTTTTCCTTGAGATTTTTGCCCTCAACCATAGTACTAAAGAATGTTTCAAACACTTGCAGTTTCATGTAGACTAACATTGTTTAGATCTGCCAAGTCCAGAATATAAGAGTTTTGTAGTTATGTGACAGTTGTTGGTAAAAAACCTATTGATTCTATTTAAACCCATTCTTAAACTCTTCTTATCAGTACTAAGAAAATCAATCTCTCTTAAATATTCCGGAACTGAGTGCTGATAGTCTCTATTACATTGAAAACTGTGTCAGAATAAGAGTTTATAGCTTGTTGATGGAAATTGATGGCCTCATCGGAAATTGATTGACACTATCGGAAATTGATCGCTCCTTATCTACATCTCAGTCTGGTCTCCCGCTAACACCAAAACTACCTGGGGTGGAACACAAGTTACTATTATTTAAGATCTCTTGGAATTTACACCATATTGGGACATATTTCTAGGTTCAAGTGAAAAAGAAGAGATTTCTCTGTGATTTGTCGCACTTGTCACACTTATCACATTACGTAAAGTCAATCAAGTCATCAGTGTACCAAATAGATGGACACTGTGTACTGTCACAGATCGGTGTACCGAATAGCTTTATCCGACAAGAATACTAGGCATCATGAAGGCTATTGAATACAAGTTTCAGCTGCTGACAGTTTTACTCAGCCTCTGCCACCTCCAGATGTGACTTAGATGTGACAGATCATGTCACATATCAGCAACACATGACCAAAACCTGCCAAATCCAGGGCAAAAAACCTTAAACTTCAAATAATAAAAATTTTGGTCTATAGGTTATCTTCCAAATGCTGTTAGCTGCTCAAATATACATTTGGGACTTGGTACATAAACTATTCCCAGTGCTATTAAGTTTACAAGTTTTGGTCTCAAAGCTTGTCATGAGGTCGTGACCCCTACCATATATGGTCGACATATGATTGCTGTGACCACCTTTTTCACCGCAGTCGATACTGATTACATTGTCGACAACGTCTTCTTCGTTGACCAGGATGCCTCGGCGATAGAAGCCCTCGATGACCTGCTCTACGTTGTTGAGAACTTGACGTACACCGCCCATGTGCTGGCCACGGAGATGACATCAATATCATGTTCGACGAGGGCCTTCTGCTCTGAGATACGATGGCTAAAAGAGGTCAGCACAACTCAGCAAATATACCTGAGGCATATCAGTTGGGGTTGCACACAGCGATATCGATTGGGCGCCATATGGTGGCGCTGTTTCAAAATTTCTCGTGGAAAAGTCAGAACATGTCTTACAGCAGGTGGGTACTACCTCCAATACCTCGCACCTGTAGCCAACTTTACTCTTGCACTGAACTTCCTAGCAAATAATCCCATGCGCCACAGGTCCCCGCCGTCAAAGAGCCGCACCATCTGCGATAACGCATCAGCAAAGCCATTTGGGCACTGGGCAGCACTCTGGACAGAACGGAGAAGTAAGCAGCCCCAAGTAGGTCTGCCGGCTGTCCAGTGCGCAGGCATGGTGCGCAAAGTTTGGTGCGCGATAAGGAACAAGGAACACAGAGTGGGTGCCTGTCGTCGTTTGTCGTTGTGGAAAAGAAGGAAGATGGTCGGGCCAACATGTGATCTCCCCTCCTCGTTTCGTCTCCCGCACCACGATCCGTGTCCTCTGTCTGAGGAGGCTTGTCATCGAGGACTCCGCGTCATATATCACTAACTTGCGGGGCCCAGCCGAACGAGATCAGCTTCTGGTAGGTTATAGTGTCATTAGCCTCGAATCGTGAGCGCTTTCCCTGTTTCCACGCCAGGTGCGGGTATCGACAGAGAAGGGATATGAACGTTTAGGATATAAAGTGGGTGGGTAAGCGATCACCTGTTTCATCGTCCTGGAGCTAAGTAGAAGAAGCCTTAGACAGCGAAACAAGAACAAGAGGTAAGCATGCATCTGTCAGGGGAACCCCCCTCTCGGCCCCTCGGAGACGCCTCCGATTCCGGTCCGATTCCGGTTCCGTCTCCGGCCCGGCCCTCCATCTTGCCCGCACAATCACTGATCCGTCAACGCCGTCCCAACGGTCGCCCTGGGATCTTGCCTGCGACGCCACCCAAGCCTTCTGTGCCCGACAGCGGCAGCTATGGACAAGCAGTATATAGTCAGCTCCCTAGCAGGCGGACCCTTAGAGTTTCTTCTCTTTGGATCCTCCCCTGCTAGGTCAGCTTCATTTGTATTTGCTTACCAATGTTCACGCTTTGGATCCTCCCCTGCTAGACCTTATCTCAGGCCTCCGGGGTTGCCCTTACAAGCACTATCCTAATCTGTTCTCGCGCCTCCCCTCTGCCTGTTCCCACTCTGAAACCCTCCTGGACTTGGCTATGTCGAACGGGTCAGGCACCCGGATAACTAGTGGCACCCAGTTGGGCACCGCGATTGGCGTAGGCATACGACGGGGCCAGACCTTCTCCAGTGAGCGCTTTGCTCACCTTTTGCTTTTTTTGTCCACTTCTAACCCTCTGACGACAACAACAACTCCTTTTTCGAGCCCCCTTTTCGAGCCCGCCGGCGACCTTGTACTCTGTATGTTTTTTGCCTTTTTACTTACATCTCTGTATATCCCTATGCTTGTTACTTTCCATATGCACTCCATACCCCTTATACTTACTTATGGTCTTCCCTTTCTACTTACTGTTGCAGATTGTGTAGCTCACAGCGTATCTACGGATCACATGTAGCTTAGTAATCAATCTCATTCCTGTCTTTTACGGTCACCCCGTCTCCCGAGTCCTTGCTGGTCATCGCGTCTTCTCTCCTGCGCTCCTTCTCCCTTCCTTCGCACCGTCATCCGGTTCTCTGCGCTCAACACTTACTATTAGTATGTAAACAGCTAAAGTAGCTATGCTACTTTAGCTTGATTATAAACATTACTTGCACTCTTCCTCTGTGTGGAATGACTCCAATAACTCTTCTCTCTTCTCTTGTCCTTCAACTGAACTTCACTCCACTTGCGGGCATTGCTCCGCTCCGACTCCCTCCAGTCCAGTCGGTCTTGTGTTCATTCGTGTCAGGCAGCTACTGGCTTGTTAGCTATGCTAGAAACCCCTCTGTTCTGCACAGCACTTAACAGTTCTATAATATTCTACTGACTCAGTTCTCCAGACATATAGCTATTTATAATATAAATTGGTTCTCCCCTCTTTTCTTCAACACACCTTACTATATTTTAATAGTTGCCAAAAATAGTAGACTTGACACGGCCTGTTTTTTCACATGGACAACTATATACAGCACTATCTTGAATTCGAAACCAGCATCATGCTGGAGTCCGATTGTTACCAAATGAAATTTCCACAACCAATATAACTTATCCCAAAACTTTAGTTTGAGATATATAATATATATATTTATTTCAATGCTTGATCAAGTTACCAGAGTGAAGTGAAGGTATGTCTTGTAACATTTAAAGCTGTGGCATAGCCCCAGCCCTGTCTAGTTTATAATATAGACTGGTTCTCCTCTCCTTTCTTCAACACACCTTACTATGTTTGAATATCCTGTGACTATACTTATAACATTAAAAAAAAGGTAATCACCCACCAATACCAGAACAATAATCCAAGAATGCAAATTTTTCAAGTTGAAAACCATTGTACCTGTAGCAGGGATAATTATGTATTGTTCTGGTCAGTTGTAGGCATATCTATGAATAAATGCAGTGTAAATATCAGTTTATAAAAATGTTGTAGAGATAAATTAAGAATTTTATACTGCTGTTTTTTTTCTATAAATTGGAAATACTTTTCAAAAGCAGTGGGATCATTATTCATTATAGCCTTCACTGGTTGCCAAAGCCATCAAGAAATACTACCAAAATGCTACACTACTTTGTTGACTACCTACTGTATACTACTGACTACTCATATGTACTACCTATAAAATGAGCAATGAGCGTGAGGGTGGGTGGGGTGGGGTGGGTGGATAAGTGAGAGCAATTCACATATGTAAACATGAGTTACGTGACAACAAGGTGGGGGGGGGGAAATACTACAGGTAGCTACGATGAAAGGTGGGGTCCACTACTGCTACTAAAAGATGCAGATGCATCATGCAGGAGACCAAAGGGGTGGATGGAGGGGGATAACGGAGGGAGAAAAAAAAGAGGGCTAGTCATACATCATGGTTTGATTGAGTCGTGTTTTCGGGGGTCGTCTTAGACGCCATAACGTGCAGCGAGCCGTTCTTGGATCGGTTGGGGGAACATTGACACTTGTGCCTGCCATGCGGCGACATCGTGGTTCTTGAAGCCTTGTAATAGCGTCCTGAACATCTCGTTGAGCTCGGGAGAGGGCTGGTTCCATCGCACGATAGCGTTGCAGAACCAAAGAAGACTCTGCGAAAACAAAAAATGCATCAGCAATCAAGGATTACATCAGGACAGAGAAAATAACCTTGGCGATGCCTTGTGGGTTATATTGCACAAGCGTACAGAAACCTCTGAATGCAGAATCCTTCTCCTCGTTGTCCCGAATCTCGTACAATGCTTGACACCAGGCTTGGGCAAACTCGGGTAAGTGCGGCGCAACAAGGTCTGGATTAGTCAACCCGATTCGTCCAATGGAAACGGCGGCGTTCTCGTGTAAGCTTCGTGGTGCCTTGGGATGCAGTAGAATAGGAATTAGCCGGACGATGAGCGGGTTGACCCATTGCTTAAACTCGGGGTCGTCTATAATTCGTCAGGAACAGGGCAACGCAGGCGAACAGAGAAGGCGACATACCCCTTCCATATCGCAACGAGACTTCACCAACCGACCAGGCTGCGTTGTTAGAAGCACTGATGAAGTCGTACTTCGGCTCCGGGTCCAGTTGAAGAGTCAGTTCGGCCATGATGCCCGGCATGTAGGGGCGGAGGAGAACAAAACAGCCCACTGCCATGTCACCAACAAGTGCGTAAGCAGTCTGTCGAACGGGCGCTTGCGGGTGTTTGAGACAAGCAGTGAGAAGGGCAAGAAGAGGAGGGTTGTTGGCTGTGATTAATGGTTGCAGCTCCATTCCCATGCCTTGAGTCAACCCGGAGAGAAGATCGAGAGCAACAACGAGAAACGACTGGTCTGGCTCCTCTGATTCCGGATTCTCCTGGTAGGCCTGGTATTTGAGGAGTGCATTGTGGATGATGTTATTACAGCGCTCAAAAACGGGTTGAGCATACGGCAAAAATGCCGTTCCGATGGCGATTGTAACAGAAGCCAAACACTAAAAACATTGATGAACAAAGCTGCAGCGGAAAGAGATCAAAAAGCAAACCTCGAGAAGAGGAATCAGATTTTCGTCGTCATCCTTCAATCGCGACCAACGCTTGGTCAACGGAGGCATCAGGATATCGACATAACGCGGGTTCTGTAACGCCCGACCCACTGCATCAGCAAGGGCGCCAACGGCATTGTATAAGATAAGCATATTCTTGTGCTGATATTTGTTGAATGCGATGACGAGGTTTTGGAGCACGGGCTCCAGGTAAGGTGCAAGCTCCATGCCCGCTTCTTCTTCGAGGGTGGCAAAGGCGCTGCAACCAACCTCTTGAACTCGTTTGTTGTTGTCAAGGACCATTCGGAGAAGCTATTTAAACCGCAATCAGTGATAAAAAAGCGGTGAAAAATGAAGGATTCTTACGCCCTCCATCGTTGGCACAAAGTATTCATTCTTGTGCTCCTCGGATATGGGCTGGGTTGTCCAGCTTGCGTAGCGGCCAAGGGTCCAGCAAGTAATAGAACGAATGAGGGGTTTGGAATCCGATAGCGTGCTGATGAGATATGGAATGAGAGTCGGCAGATGCGGTTTCATAGCCTCAATGCAACCTAGAATCCGATGCGGTTAGCTTTGATTTTCACATTATCACTTGAAATACACACCCTCGGCCATGGCACCTAGCGCGAGAATCCCACTCTCCCTCTGTAGCCAGTCGTTGCTCCATAATTTATCCTTCAATGGGCCCAACAGGACATTGAGCAAGTCGCCACTAAACCTGACCGCTAAGACATCCAAAGCGGTTGCGGCACATTTCCGCAGATTCCATTCAGTGGACATTTCATCGGCAAAATCCTCGTCGTCGAAGTAGTCTTCTTCGTCGGAATCGAAGGTTTCTTCACCATAAGCCCCAATACGCGTCTTGGGAGGCTCTTTTCCGTCCGCATCGCGTTCTAGTCCGTGAGATTTGCCACCTCCATAGTGACGGGGCTTGATATCCGTTTCCTTATCGGGGACTGCTGCATCTTCAGCATCACCTTCCAGCCAGAGTAGATCGTCTTCGCCATAGACCATGCAATCGAGTAGAACAGGGGCAACTTTGGCGAGTAGGGGATGTAGATGGACAGCTAAATCGGCGTCTTCAGCGAAGGTCAACCAAAATTCGCATGCCTCGAGCGCAACGTTTTCATTCTTGTCTTTGGTCGAGTATAGCATGTACTCCGCCACATTGTTCATCTCTGGCATGAGTTTCTCCGGTCGGGCCGCAAGTAGGAGGACCAAGGCCTGGCAGACGTGGCGACGAACGGAAGGGTCATCGTCAGAGGCGCGTTTAAAGAGAGTGGCGATGAAGTTGTCAATGTGAACGAAGAGCGATTGGGCCCCGACGGGAACAAAGTACGATAAACAGGCGACCGCATGGGAGCGCATCTTGGCAGATGGGTGGTTGGCCAGCATGAGGAATTTCGGGATCATGAAATCGAGGGGGCGGGTGCCGTTGATCTCAACGTCCATTTTTCCGGGGTAGTCCTCGCATGCCTTTTCGAGAACATTAAAGGCGGCCTTTGTGTAGAGAAGCACGTTAGTCTTGGATTATTCAGTACAAGCTATTTAGGGCACGTACCTCTTGTCGATTCAAATCAGGTGAGTCGAGAGTGTTCATGAGCTGTTGAAGGCACTCAGGCCAGTGACGGGGTTCGAGTTGGCCAAGAAAAGCGACGATGTCTTGGCCTGCCGCATTGCGAATCATGACCGACTCGTCGGTGAACGCTTGGAGGACCGCCGCCTTGACATATTGAGCGACTTCTGGGGTTGAAGTCAGGATGAGGCGGGCATTGTTCTTGAGGAGGTAGCCAGCGATGGTGCGGATTCGGTCCTCTTCTTGTGGCATGTCCGTTAGAATATATGCCAGATAGGCAATGTACTCGGGCGCGCGAGAAAAGTTGTTTAGTTTCTGTGTGGGTCTTTTCAGCTGGAGTTCAATGGAGAAAAACAGCAGCGGAAGACATACATGGGTGATAGCGCGTTGAACAGCTACATTCATGTCGGTGGATTCGTGGAGCGTCTGCAGGACCTCCTGAAGACCCTGTTGTTGGGGTGCCCATGAAGCCATCTTGAACAACGCGTAAAGAGAAGAGAAAGAATGCCGTGTCACGCAAGTGACGTTTCTGATCAATCCACACTTTTCACCATCCGAGTCATTGCCCGACCCGACTGGCCCTTGCTTCTTGCCACACCCCAAATATCGGAGACAACCCTACGCCTCAGCGCAAGACAGACCGCGCAGGCTGCGACACCAACGGCGGCCAGCCACGTGTTGCTTACCCAAACTCTCTCACCTCCACCTCCGCTCGCTTCCCCGTTGCTTCCCCGACCCGCCCAGCCGCCCCGCGCCACATAACAGCCTCCCGCTTCAAAACGCGCTGACTTCGCGGGCGCGAACGGCCCCACAACTGGCCCGCTCGTTCGCCGGGCTACTGCTCAACGGGGTATGTTCGTCGTCCGCCCATGGTGTTTCTAGGAAGGGTAGCGGACGATCAAAGGATTTGGCAATAGGTGCACAAAAACTCGCTCTCTTTACTCGTGTCGTTACTAACAGTCTCCCCCTGCAAGCTCTTTATTTCATGTCGCATTATCGTTCTCCAGCAAGACTTTCTGTCGGACAGTCTCGGGACCCGTTCAAGTTATTCCTCCCACGTTGGGAAGACTGCCATTATTATCGCTTGTTGTCAAGTGCGTATCTGACTATCGCCTACTTCCATCCATTGACTGAATGCTTAAGTCCTCCCCGCCATCCATGGCGTATTCTCCCATGATCTTTCTTTCATCTCCGCAACGGCACGATGTTGGTGGTTGTGAAGCAGCCCGACGGCCTTCGGCAGCAAAATCCCGTACTTTGGCCAAGCGTTCGCGCCGTCGCGCCAATCTTCCTCGGTTCTTCGTCAAGCAAAACAGCATTGCTGCCGTCCAAATCCTCATCTTTCGCAACAACATCATCTCCGCGTCAGCGTAACGACGACCATGTTTTTGGTCATGGGGCTGGATATTCGACCGATGTCGACTAACTTTGACAGAGAGCAGTAGAGGGCAATTTGCGTCAAGCTCGTGGACCATCGCAGCTTTCTTAACTGCAATACATCTTCACCATAACTCCCTGTTCCCTCTTCTCCCTCCCCCGTCCTCCCCGCCCACGCCTGCACCTTCCCCATGAAATCGGCGTCGACTTCCCAAAATGGCAAGTCACGTGCTCGCTCGCCGACCGGAAGACGTCAATATATCTCGCAGAAGGCGGCAGCTGGAGGTCTGTGGAGTGTATCTCCGCGTGCCGCATACTTGTCCCTTCCTACTCAATCCTTTTTGCGGCGCCATTCGAGGGGCAAGGCTGCTGTCGAGCGCCTTTTGTCTCGCAGCCATATGGGAGCATGGGCGGCGATTCTTCGTCGAAGGGCGACATACACGTGGGCGGAGATAATTTGGTGCGATGTAAAAGACGGGGGAGGAGCTCGGCAGAGAGCTTTGTGTGAGAGATTATATAATCTCCATGACGTCGTCTAGTCTTTATTGTGTCCTGGACAGTGAGACAAGCTAACGCTTTTCTCACTGTACCAGGTAGGACATCATACTCTACTTATGCTCACACTAGCTAACGCTTTTCTCACTGTACCAGTACGAATCTATCACTTGTTTGATACTTTGAGCAGATTGGGGGAAGCAAAGCTTGTGCAAACTAGTACTAGGGGGAGTTGCCCATCGGAGGAGGCCGACGAACGCTCGAGCAGGATGATGTTGTCACTTGACACACGGGGCTAGGATTTCTCTCCCCCGTCCCTCCTTGCCCGTCGAGTGTCCTTGACGGCTGGTTCTTGGTCGCGTGGAGAAGGAGCCTGTTGACATTATACTTTGTGATTATACTTCTGGAATCCAGATGTATATATTTTCTATCGATAACATGCTTTCTGTATTGTTTTATACGATCTGCTCGATCGCTGTATTGTACGGGGTTTATCTTTATCGTACACGGACGAATCCTGCGAAATCGAGGCTGCCTGCATAGGGGAAGACAGAAATCTACTCGTTGCAGCTTTAGACGGTGTTGTCGTTGCCCTCGACTATCTTCTCCGGGACGTGCAAGTGGCTTGAGCGAATAGCGAAGGAGTTGATGTGGGAGGGAATGGCGCTGACGGAGAAGAGCAAGGAGGGCTGGGTAACGGAACTGTAAAAGGAACATCGGCAGTGCGATATAAGGGAGAAAAAGAGGGTTTACGCACTGTTCGCGGCACTAGTATATAGCTATTATACGAGCCCAAATACGAGCATCCACATGCGAGAGACCAATCGGTTTGCGAAAGCTCGTTGGAGGACGGATGTCGTCAGACAAGGTAGAAAGAGATGAAAGACGTTCAAGCGGGTTCGGGCCACACGGTACACATGCATCGCAGGAGATGAAGAGCATATTCGCGGTCATTGCATCCGAATAAATGCTTGAGGAAGGAATGCTGGACTGGAAAAGGATAATCAGGGTCTGCAAGTCGGCGCTTAGCTGCACAACGCACCGTAGTGAACACGTCTGGTATACTAGCACCCAGTGCGAGAGAACTCCAAGCACGGCTCGGACTCAGCGGGCGAGCGCCACGAAACTACGGAGCAGCTCGGTACGGGTCGCCTGGGTGCTTTTCGGAGGTCGCAGAGGGAGGTTGCCAAGGGAGAAGCTGAGACGGGGTGTTGCCAAGTTATTCGTTGCGTGCATACTGTAATGCGCGCCGTAGTAGTTCTCCCATTCGCCCCAAGAATTTGCGCTCAGAGTCTCAGTCTCTCAGACCGTCTCGGAACTTGAAACCTGGCGGGCTACAAATCAGTGCAGGGAATGCCGCATATAGCTTGCGCCAGCAGTATATTTCCTCTTTCTCGTGTGGTTGAGCGTCATACACTGACCCGAGTGGTCGTTAAGACGAGAGAAGGATTGATGGGTCACGCGACGTGACTGGCCCGTCGTCCCTTCTTCCGTTCCTCCACTGTATCCGCTTGCCGCCTTCCGTCAAGCATGCTCCCCCCAGCCCTTCCCTCGTATCAACTGCCTACGGCGCACGAAAGAGCGGCTCGGTGAGCTGCACAACCATCCGCATGGTGTCATTGACGCTGACCGTTCTTCCTTCAGCACGAGGGTAATCTTGCTTTCTGCCGTATGCGGCTGGGCGCTACCTCCACCATCGCCGCTCGCGGAAGCTTAGAAGAGAAGAATAGGGCTGGATAGCTGGGAGTGGACTATTCCCGTGGCGTCCAAGCGCGCTCTTCGTTGTCCTCCCAATTCCTCACTTTTTCTCTGCAGGTGTCCGTCCTCTTTTCCTGCCTGGTCGACTTCACTCTGCGTCAATCGAACTCGCGAGCCCTGCGCTCTTTGGGCTCTCGGTGCCGGGTCTTTCCAAGAATACCTGCAAGACCTACTTCAGAATTTGGAGAAGCGAGGTGGAGTCGAGACCAATATAGAGGAACGCTATCGAACCCGACTGCCATGCGCGTCTTCCGCCTCGCACTCGACATGCGTCCCTCATATCTTTCTAGATCTCTTGGTTATGGTCGCCGCTGGAAAGAAACAGGAAAACACGAAAGCGCCCGCCATCTCCAAATTCAGCTCCCGCTTCCACGACTCCGTGTCGTCGCCTCCTCGAAATCAGTGACGACTCGAGCATGTGGGCTTTATATCCCTACTTCTCCATCGGCAATAACTTGTGGCTGATTGCCAGGCTTATGCGCCACCCAACTCTTCAAGAGCCAGTTCTCGGCGGGCTCTAACATACCTGCGATTCAAATGGAAGGCTATTGTTGGCGCCGCTCATCAGCAATTTCAAGCCGCTGACCTGCGTGCTCGACGACGACTAGGCAACTCCGCCACAGGATAGGAAGACGGCGGGGAGGCAACGTGGAGAGCGACGAAGGAGGTCTGCAGGGACCATCGTCCACCGGGGCGGAACTGGAAATGTGGAAGCTTGATGCAGAGTGACTTTGAGCCCTGCGGTTAAGGAGGAGGTCCCGATTCAGGTGCGCGAAAAGCGATCCTCTTTGTTTGCCGTTGTTGACACTTCCACCATAGAGGCGAGCCGGCAGAGACTTTTTGCTACTGCTGATCTTCTTCTCCGCCACCACGACAGTGACCCCGACTGTGTGTACAAGCCCAACTACTCTGCTGACTTCACCCACGCCGGCGGGTCTGCCCACCCTCGGTAGTAGGCAACGGGTGCAAGTGTAGCATGTAGCCGAAGGAGGTCCGAGTCAGTGCTTCGGCGCATGAAGCGTTTTTAAGGTATGTCCAATGTCTCTATCTTCTGCCCAATCCGTTCCCTCAGAGCTCAATCGCATCTTTAGTGCCGATAGTCTTCAGAAGCAGAGTCGCGTGCCCCAGCCGAAGTAGAGCTCGCTGCTACTTAACAGTGACGAATGCCGGCGAGTCAAAAATTTGCGCTCGTGTACCAAACACCTTACCCTCTTACAGTCGGTTTTCCCTGCGCTCAAGTTATCCTTCCCACTTTCTCTTCCCTTGATCTTTCGTCGCTGCCTCCCTTCTTACTCACTATAAAACGGACTCTCCACAATTTATTTTGCACTACAACTCTTTCGTCCTACCTCCCATTCATCATGTTCAGAAGAGTCTATTACTCAGAGTATTCAACAGAGATAGTGTTGTATAAATAACTATTGCCTCTTCATTAAAAAAGCAAACTGATCGTTCTTCTCCCACTCCCGGAATTCGGCTTGCAGGTCTTCGCCCAGAGGACACTGGATGCTTGTTTTGGGTTTCAAAATGAGACGGAATACATACGCGGAATGGATTGCGTCTAGATGCACCATCCTACGTTGTGCAAACTTCTTCAAGGCTTCCTCCGTGAAGGCGAAACGACCAACGATTGAAAGTAAGCAAAGGCGGGGCACCAGCACCGGTACCTGACCTTCGTTGCCCGCCGCGTCCACCGTGAGGCGTTCGAACAGCTCATCCGTCACGAGCGGCGGAAAGTCGGTGTGGTATGTGTCTATGAGGCACAAGTCCTGCTGCAAGGCGCGCGAGAATATCACAGAGGTCGGTTGTTGCCAAAGGTAGGTCGATGGTGAGCGAAGACAGAC